CTGTAGCTGCTGCTTTCTCCATGTGACTAGCTGTACTCACATTACCAGTGGGGAGACAGCTTTTATTGAGATAATGATGTGAATCAGGAAAGGCAACCAGAGTATCTCCCCACCTAACTAAAGAATGTCCAGAAGATTCTACAGCCTCCTAAAACATCTTTTGGGCACCAAGTGTCAAGCACATGAGCCATTAAAAGCCTAACAGTAAGAATATTGGAAACACTTGTACTGAGGATCCATGATCACGTGTGCACAGTAGGAGGCGCCCAAGACCAGGAGCTGGGTTCAAGGTTCCCACAAGGTGTGGTAGGAAGAAGATTGGGCGCCACCTACTGGTGCAACCTAGGAAACGTCAGCGACCAGGTTATCATCTACGTTTGGAAACTTCCTGTTTACTTTCTTAAGATGTTGTCCAATCCTAATCACAAAGACCAGTCTTAGGCCAGAGAGAGCTCAGCCTGTAGAAGCATTTACCACCAAGCCTGTCTGCTGGAGTTTGATTCCCTTAACCCACACAATAGAAGGAGAAAACCCACTTCCTTGAGTGGACCCCTGACCTCCACACTCCTGCCCACACACAAATACATATATGGACAGACTTATCTGTTCCATCCCTCTTAAACATCCCAGTAAAATTTTCTGAAGTGACAGAAACATACTCTGTACTGTCCAATAAAGTGACCAGCAGCTGTGTTCAGATACTGAGGCCTTTAGATGTAGCTAGGGCCACTCACATGCTTAATGTTGATTTAACTGTAATTAAGTGCAAGTACTCAGAGAAGTTCTCAACCCAGCTGCCTACTGAATTCACCTGAGAACCTTTTCAGATTCCAGATCATTTACATTAGCGCCTCAGTATTTTCAGAGTTCAATAGGCAGCTCTAATGAAGAGCCAAACTTGAGAATCCTCTCTCAAAGCACTGCCTGGCAAACCACCGTGTGTCTGCCTCATCTGAGAATCTTACTGAAATGCAGGCTGACTGACAGGTTTGAGACGGGTTCCATCTGCTTCTCTACCAAGCACGTGCTGTGGCTCCCTGGGCCACACGGAGCAGTGCCTGCTCAGACACCCAATACTTTGGGCCCGGAGACAGGACCGTTCTTGCTTTCAGTTTGTGTTCTAGTTAAAGGACAGTTTGCAGAAAAAGTTACAGTAACAATGGATGTAACAGGGATGGAGGCGGCGGTAAGTGATGGGTACCTTACCTTGGAACAGAGTTTTAGCTTGTGGTGTAAGGAGGCTCTAGGTGAAGAGTGGGAAACGTGGTCTAAAGTTAAGAGGAACAGCCTGGCAGAGAACCCAGAGGAGAACGTGGGGAGTGACAGACAAGCAGGTTCCACATCCAGACCATGTGGCTGAGACACAAAGGCCTTCTCCTAACTGCAGTTAAAAGCTGCAGCGGGGCCTAAGCAAGAGCATGCAGTAGTCTCACTGACTATTGTTTAATCTCTTTGTCAACTCCCTCCAATCTTGAAAAAGAAGACAAAAATGGGCCTTTATGTGTAAAGGAAAAACAAGGATTCATAAATATTTCAGGACAAATAACACTAAGGCAGGCCACTTTCACCGTTTGGGTGCTTACGGCCATAACTCACTATCCAAGGACAAGAGATCGAATTCCTTATCTCTAAATGCCACCTTCTCTGTACTTAACTGGTCCCCAGGAGGAGCACTGGGCTGGGCTTAACTGCAGCAGTCAGCAGTTACAAGGTCTGCCCACGGCAGGGAAGGACAGGGCACAAAAGGTTCGTTGTGCTTCACCCTGCCCTTTGTACTTGCAGGGTTCACCTCCCCCTGCCCGGTGCTTTCTCCTCTGTCCTATTCAGACTTAAGATGAGATTCAAATTAAGACAGCAAAAAGATTATCAGTGTGATGGGTTTTAATTCTCGGCCACAGTAGCTACAAGTCACTCATATATTCTAAAGGTTCTCTTCGGTTCTAAGACCACAGGCTGTACTGCAGGGACAGAGAGGTATCTGCTGTGGAGTAACAGGGTAAGTGTTTACTGAGGCAAGTCAGGATCTGCACAAAATCCGACTCCATCAACTACCTGTCTCTCTAGCCAGGCTGTCAGGTTTCTCAATGAAATGACAGAAAACACAGCATTTGAGAAAGATTTGTATTATTGTGCATAGTATGAGATGGGGGAGGAGTTACCACCTTGATGTGGGTTCTGGAGATAAAATGGAGGTCACTGGGCTCACATGCTAAGACTCACTGAGCTGTTTTCCTAGTCAAGAACAGCATAGCTTTTTAAATGCCAATGAATCCATTTTCCACAAGTATTAAGACTTTAACATCTCCGAATAACAGCTTTTTAGATTTTATTATTTATTTTTGGTTTCTCAAGACAAGGTTTCTCTGTGTAGCCCTGGACTGGAACTCACTCTGTAGACCAGGCTGGCCGTGAACTCGGATTATCTACCTGGCTCTGCCTCCAGAGTGCTGGGATTAAAGGCAAGCACCACCACCACCCAGCTTGTTTTTTAGTGGTCAATGAACAAAGAACGTATGTCTACTGATTCACCAGGAACCCAGGAAGGAGGGCCATCTTTAGAGCAAACTAGGAAGCTGCCATTGTTGGTGGGACACGTGTAGGAGCAGAGCTGTGGCCTGCCCATGTCTGAACAGTGCGCAGCTGGGGTTTACACAGTTCTCAGGGACTTGCGGGAACAACAGGCTCCCTGGCTACCATCTGAAAGGCACGTGTGCACATTTTCAATTGGGAAGGTGACTGCAAGACCGAGGACAATACTGACCCATTATCACACTAATGACCCAAAGCCTGGATGTAAGAAGCTATTCAGTTATACTGCCTGTGAAGGCAGCCAACTCATTCCATAGCTCGGCTACGTGAACGACGTCACTGGTTTTCAAAAGGCCGACTCCACGTCTCCCATCTCCACACACACTGTCTTCA